GCACTAGGTATTGCAAAAAAAGCAAAATAAGGCACTAAAAAAGACAGAAAATACGAAAAACAATCAAAAAATACATTTCTTTTAGAAATGTTTATATTACAAGTAAAAAGAGAAAAACTATGAACTAGTTTCATTATATGAAAAATTTGTACTTTGAATCTTTGTCTATTTTATCCTTTCGAGTTTCTAACCCATAAAACTTTAATCTGTATAGCTGTAGTAACATTGAACCACAAGATGCATTTTGAAGTTTTCTGGCAGCATTTTCATTCGATTTTCGCGAAGAAAAGCCTGGAATGTACTAAATGTGCGCTCGACGTAAGTTGATACAAGTGGAGCCCAATTTAAATATAGAACGTTTGAAACGATCATATTATCAGGAATAAGGGCGGTTTTCTCGCCCTTTACAATTTTATCCACACCCCTGATTGGCTCCAAGCCTACGTTAGCTGAGAAAACGGCTTTGCATTTTTCCAACGCCAATTTGACAAGAGGTCCCTGCGCTTCTATAAGCCGCATGGGCATGTGTATATTTTTTAATCTTAAAAAAAAAAATTCTAAATGCTATAATCACTTTTTTAAAGGTGGAAAAGGCAAAAAAGGCAAATATCTTAAAAAAGGCAAAATATTCCGACGAACTGATAACCTCCTCCTTTTTTGGAAGTCGGTTAAAAATTAAATTTGTTTTAAATGTCTAGTTAAAAACTTTGCAATTTAGGTGAAACCTTGCAGATTTTTTTTAACTTTGTACAAAGTTTGATCCAAACCCAGAGATCTACCGNGTTTGTAACAGGCAAAACGAATCGAGATAGATATAGACAAATGTATACATAAATGATCAGAATGAAAAGAGAAATCGATTAAGCGGTGACTGTCTGTCCGTCCGTCCGTCTGTGCACACGATAACTCGAGTAAAAATAGAGATATCTTAACGAAACTTGGTACGTGCACTTCTTTCGGGCGTAGGACGGATGGTATTGGAAATGGGCAAAATAGGACAATAACCACGCCTACCTCCCATATAACGGTAATTTTCAAAAATACGAAAACTGCGATATTTTAACAACTACTGAAGATAATTAACTCAAAATTGATATTTACAATAACTTTTAGACGAAAAATAAGAGTATTATAAATTTTTGGAAAATGGGCGTAGCCACGCCCACATATGGTTACATGTGTATATCTTGGTAACGGCTGCACCAATTTCTTCCAAACTTGGCACAGTTGTTGGCCTTGATACGACATACAAAATGGCCGAAAAATTTTAAAATCGGACAGTAACCACGCCCACATCCCATATAACAGTAATTTAGAGAAATACGAAATCTTCGATAAATCAGTAAATATTAAAGATAATTTATTCAAAATTGAGGCTTGCAACAATTCCTTATCGAAATACGTTTATGATATAATTTTGGAAAATGGGCGTGGCACCGCCCACTTATGATCACATATATTTACCTCGGTAACCGTTCTACCAATTTATACCAAACTCGGTACGGTTATTGTGCTTGCCACATAAAAGCAATACGTTGAAAATTATTGAAATCGGACTAACATTGAGGCCGCTTTCCATATAACGGTAAATTTCAGAAATGTTTAAAACTTCAATATTTCGACATTTAAGGACTTTAGTTAACTCAAAATTGACACACCCTGACTTACCATGTAGCGGTAGCTATCGGAAAGGTGAAAATCATATATTTAATACGTGCGCCGGGTATTTGATGTTCGGCTCCGCCCGAACTTAGACTTTCTTACTTGTTTTATTAGAACTTTATAATTTCAAAGATATGATAAATTCTAATAAATTATTTAAAAAACTTAGTGCATTGTAGAATAAAAATGGGTAACAAATTAAAGAGAAAATCCTGTAGGATTTAAAAAAATTAAAATTTTTTGGTTTTTAATATTTTTTTTTTAATATTTTTTATTGAGCTTTGTACCACGATTGTTTATTAGGAAAAATTGAAAAAGCAACAAAGTCTAAGCGGTAGAAGTTATAGCACTATTTCGGAGATCACCACATCTCCTCATCAGACTTCTTTTTTTCTAGACTTCAGCAGGGTTCACAAGGACGAACAGGTATTGAAATACCCTTTTAATCAATTTTAGTTTTCTAAGCTAATAAAGTTAGAAGGACTATATTCGAGGACGCTGTCCAGTTTATATTAGTCCTTAACATATAATTTTTTCAAAATAAATATTGCAAAATTTTAAGGATATTTAAGGATACCATTTTTAGGGACATCTTCAATGCACCAAAAAATTTAATCTGTTCTTTCTCTACAGANCTATATTCGAGGACGCTGTCCAGTTTATATTAGTCCTTAACATATAATTTTTTCAAAATAAATATTGCAAAATTTCAAGGATATTTAAGGATACCATTTTTAGGGACATCTTCAATGCACCAAAAAATTTAATCTGTTCTTTCTCTACAGAATTTTTTCTTTAATTTGATACCCCAACTGTTTTCCCAAGTACATTGCACAACATTTTTTAAACTATTTTTGGAATTTCTCATATTCAATTTTCAAAGTCCTTTTAAAAAATCCTGACGTCAGAGAGAAAAGCTAAAAACGCAATTTTACTGCATATATTTAGCCCATGGATCCCGGGACTACCATCCCTAGTGGCAACGTCACAATTTCAGTTGAGTAAAAGTCAAGTCCTAGAACCAAAGCGGAATATCATTGGCGCTTGGGAAGAAATGGAAACTGTTTACCAAAACTATACGGACTTCGGAAAAAATACTATCATTTAGTTGGTACTTCTGTGCCAGCTGAGCGCCTTTTTTCAAAAGCTGGTGCTACAGCCACCGAGAAACGCAACCGCTTAACAACAAAACGCTTATCAAAACTTTGGTTTTTGCAAATTTGGTTAAATAATAAATCACAGGTTTACAAAAAAAAAGTTTCTGCATATTAACGCAAATCTCTATATCCCTATGATATTCGTCGCGCTGAATGCGAATCCGAGGTCTGTTGGCCTACATCTCGTCAGGTTTGAGGTCATTTGAAGGTCAAGTAGGGAACAAATAATTGGAAAACCTTAAAATGCAATAGAATTCTTCTGAATTTGACCTCGAGATGGCATTAGCATGATCTCTTGATGGCCTGGAAGAATCAAGGACCCCCTCCCCCATATTCGGATTCAGCGACAACGAAAACCTATGTATATGAATTTCTAATTTCATTGAATAAATTTTTCCTATTTCACCCTCAAATGTCCTCGAACCTGTCATTATGGAGGTTAACGGACTTCGGATTCGGGTTCACCGAATCGAAAACCACATATATATGAATTTTCGGGTTTATTCAATGAATTTTTCCCTACTTGACCTTGAAATGACTTCGAACCTGACTTGATGGAGGCTAACAGACCTCGGATTGGCATTCAGCGTGTCGAGTAACATAGGGATATAGAGGTTTGGTTCAATATGCAGAAACTTTTTTTTGTGTAATTATCGCCGCTAAAAATACTCGTATTATTTTATTTATGGCTAATTAATAAGGGAATCAGACATTTTTTATGGAAGAGATTTCTTGTGACTCACTGTACAAAATTCCCTTTAAAAATTCGATTAATCGATTATTTCTCAATAATTAGAATATTTTTTTCTGGCGTGTGATTAGTCATATGATTAATTAACCGATTATATTATTTTTTTTTGCCATCCCGACCTTTATGTAGCACAAATTACTCACCATTACAAAAGTTGGTAGCTTTACTGGTATCCAATTGCCTGCCATCAACACATTCAAACGTTGTGAGCGAAGTAGAAAAGTACACAATGCCTTTTTGAATTTGTTGCTTTGAACTGTCCAATTACAATTGTAAATGGCGTTCGATAGCTCCTCACACTCCTGGCAGAAAAGGTCACCATAATAGCAGAGGATTAAGGTTTCTATTGTCACTGCTATGAAGAAGACAGCCATGTTCAACATAATCGAAAGATTGAAGCCAACATAAAGCATATAAACACCTATGGTGCATTGAGCCAGGCCAGTGCAAATGAATTGAGCCAAAGATGTACCGGATAGAGTCTTTTGTATGGTTGAAAATAACCTCAAAGGAAAAATAAATAAAAAAAACAACAATAATCAGCTCCACAATATTTTTGTAATGGTGAATAGTATACTCAATAATCGTTTTGTGATCCTTAATGCAGGAGACTAGCTCGGCGTAGTTGTGTTTCATTTCAGCTTTTGTTAAATGACTGGTATCTGGCGAATCACAGCTTTTGGTTTGGAAACCGATTCGTTGGATGCGTATAGACAGCGCCCGCATGTGAGCGGTGAGGACTCGAATGTAAGCTTGAGGATATGTGTCCACCGAGCAAGCCTGCGTGCATTGCACAAGAAAACCAATTGTTTGATAACCATAAGCAATCCAAAACATGGTCCATGAAGCTTTATATTCGAAGGGATACCAAGCAGGGTACATGAGACGTCTTTCCGCGGAGAAAATCACCATCAACTGACTAGTGACAAAGGCCGAATAAAAGAGTTGTAGGACTGTCAAAAAGCACTTATTAGCTGAATCAATTCCCTTTTGAAGTACATTGATTTCCTCGTCAGACTTTGCACGGGCATCCAACTGTTTGAGTATAGGTCCAAGTTCCAACAATTTTTGGCGAACAATGAATAAGGTCAGGAATTTGACATTGAGTGTTACAACGGACATGGCTATGTAGATAACTTCACAGAAGTCGTTTAAGTTATCTGCGAGCATACTCTTGACGGTGAAACAGATGGGATAGTAAATCGGAAATAGTATTGTTATCACTATTGTATACACTTTGTAAGGAATATACCAAGGTGAAGAGGTCTTCGGTCCACGAAATCCACTTAAGTCCCAAACGCGCCAATGATACTTGAAAGCATCCCAGCTATTAACTCTTGCTGCCATTACGAGAACTGTGCAATTGCGTGATACGATTTCTACTGTCATTGTTGGTCCGATTACAGGTGCTTTATATGTATATGGTTTTATACATACACATGTGCATATGAGTATGGAAATCGCTACATTCAGTTCCGAGTATAGGTTCATATGTATGTATGTACAAATGCGTATGTATGTATATACAAATTTTGTTCGCTAAAATTACCGTGAGAATTCCTGTTTTTGTTTGCAAGTCCTTGGAACTCGGTGAGAACCATTAACGTGACAATTTATTTCAAAACTTTATTCTTTAAACAGTAATAAACATTATTAGCAAATTGGAGTTCCAAAAGCAGAATTTTGAAAACATATATACATATATATCAGGTTCCCTGTCCTCATGCAATACATCTTTTTTCAAGGCATACGTCCCCCGTTATTTTCAGGATTCTTTATCTGATTTGATATTTTTGATATGCAAAGAGCGTAGATTATATGCTCTTATGCAAAAAAAATAAAATATTTCATTTCTCATTTATTATACATAAGGGTGGGAAATAGTTTTCGATAAGGTACGTCCTATGTATCATATTCAATCCACAACTGTTTTGTATGTTTCCACACAAAAACACTATATTTTTTGCAAAATAAGTAGAAATATGTATCTGAAGTCAGCATTGATTTTGCTCATATAAGATTAATGGACGTGTGAGACAAGGTACAAAACTGTTCCCATGAATCAGATGTGATTCATTGGACAGGGAACCTGATATAGATGTATTATGTATACGGTGACCATTCGTAACGAGTTTGGCGCGACAGTACTGATTTTGAGAAAATTTGTCCCGCTGAATATTTTTTTAAAGTCGGGACGTATAAGTGTCCCGATTTTTCATATTTGTACCGATTATGTCCCGATTTTCAGTGTTTTCTTTATTAATTTAAAAAGAGTCTCCTTGTACTCTGACCCAAACAATTTTTCTTACAAACGTGGCAGCACTTTCGTTATCACAAGGAACATTGAATATAAGGAAGTCATAAACATAAGCAGCATCTTTATTTTCTATGAACTTTGGCTATGTTTTATTTTGNATATTTCATTTCTCATTTATTATACATAAGGGTGGGAAATAGTTTTCGATAAGGTACGTCCTATGTATCATATTCAATCCACAACTGTTTTGTATGTTTCCACACAAAAACACTATATTTTTTGCAAAATAAGTAGAAATATGTATCTGAAGTCAGCATTGATTTTGCTCATATAAGATTAATGGACGTGTGAGACAAGGTACAAAACTGTTCCCATGAATCAGATGTGATTCATTGGACAGGGAACCTGATATAGATGTATTATGTATACGGTGACCATTCGTAACGAGTTTGGCGCGACAGTACCGATTTTGAGAAAACTTGTCCCGCTGAATATTTTTTTAAAGTCGGGACGTATAAGTGTCCCGATTTTTCATATTTGTACCGATTATGTCCCGATTTTCAGTGTTTTCTTTATTAATTTAAAAAGAGTCTCCTTGTACTCTGACCCAAACAATTTTTCTTACAAACGTGGCAGCACTTTCGTTATCACAAGGAACATTGAATATAAGGAAGTCATAAACATAAGCAGCATCTTTATTTTCTATGAACTTTGGCTATGTTTTATTTTGTAAAACTGGTACCCTCTCTATATTGCAGTCTATCACTCTTCCCTGAGTTTACTAAAGGTTTTTATAATTACTAGTGTTCGCCCAGCGGTTGAAATTCAACCGCAAAAATTAAGGATAGTTTATGTGAGTTGAGTTGAGCTGGAATAACATTAGTTGGAATGGGTTAAGTGGAGGGGAGTTTAACATAACATACCATAACGTAAGATTAAATAACATAACATATGTAGCATAGCACACCACAATATAACATCGCACATTCTTCAGTTGTATTTCCTTTTTATGCCTATCACTTTCTTCCTCTCTATCTTTGTCTCTATCGCTTTTAATGTTTATGTTTATGTTATCTTCACCTTCATGTTCATGTTCATGTTCATGTTCATCTTCATCTCCATCTTAATATTCACCTTCGTTTATGTTTAGGTTTCTGTACTTTTATTCTAATCTTTGACTTTATCCCTTTCTTCTTCTACATATTCAACTTTACCTTCTTCCTTGCATGAATCTTAATCTTCATAAATCTGATTCCTAAACTGCTGCTTAGCCGATTTCTTTAATTCAGTATCATTATTAAAGCATACATTTAGGAGGCATTTCCGCCCCAACCATGTACATGTACGGCATTAGTGTTGGTGTCACTTTTGAATTGATTTTTTCGCTTTATGTTAAACCAATTTGAAATTTGAGTTTAGCCGTAAAAGAAAACATGATAGCCTATTTGTATATAAGATAAGATACCAAAAACCAAAAAAACATATGGAAACATCATTATATTGCAATCAGCCCTATTCTGCATTTCGATTACGTTCCCGCATTCCGCTCCGCAAGAATCGAACTTAGGTATTCTGCGTTACGATCGAATCGAAACAGGAAGATGATGATAGAAAACATCTTTCGAAATCAGCTGTTTGCCTAGGAATGTGTGAAATCGAAACAAAACAAAGAAATATTTGCCACCGAATTATAGCAGCTTATGAAGTTAAAGTTTGTAAATATTTTAAAATAACTAAATATATCTAGCATCACTGTAATTTAAAAATAAAATTTCGTTTGCTCTTATTTTAGTGGAAACATAATTATAAGAATGAAATCCATAGCCGCGGCGTTATTGCTTGAAGAGGAGAACGAGTCCCAGATTGCTGATGCGGAAGTTGAAAGGCGGAGATTTAGGGACATGTTTGATCTTTTTCAGATGAGTGAAGAGTCACAAACTCATCATGAACTGTATTACTCACCGCTCAAAGTCAGTGAAATTATAAACGTTGTTTGAGCACCCCACAACATTTGCATTTACTACAGAGTGGAAGATTTGAACGCAAATGAATTCCATTTTGAAATCCGTCAGGAGGAGGGGAAGAACAAAGCTTATCCTTCCATTAGGGATGCCAGTGGCAAAAATTCATCGATGTTTTTCTTTGATTCAATGCATCGAAATTTACATCGATATTTTTCGATGCATCGAAGGGCATACATCGATGTATCGATTTGTATAGGATTTTTCAGATAATATTTCACAAAAAAATATGTTATTAACAAAATTATACAAAATTTAAAATAAATTACTGCAACTGAGCTAATTATATGTGACCTGGTCTACGAAAAGGGAGCTTACGTGCGAAAACTAGTTTTCTGTGAAAAAGCTGTTAAAAGTAAGCAACTCGTTTCGTCAGTTTCTCATTATCTCGTTAATTGTTCTCCGCGCCGGAC